GCTGGAGTCAATAAACTGAATCCAACAAGGGAGATAAGAGTACTGGAATATTTTTATTTAAGATTTCTTTTCCCTCCCTTTCTCTTTTTTACATAAGCAACAAATTCTCCTCTACTCTGTTCTGGAGGCTATTTGGGAAGGGGTGATCTCAATCTATTATTTCAACTTTGTGCTAAAATTAAAGCACTTATACTCCTGCAAGCAGTCTATTATTATGAGATTCTGAGAAAAATAAATCACAATGCTGCTTTATTTTTCAGGGAGACACTTTTAATTTGACAGTGCTTAAAATAATTTACATATCTTTAATCTGTTTCTGAACCCTGTAAGTTTAATAAAACAATATTTTTATGGTGGTAGAGCTAAGGACTCAAAAGATGAATGTGTGGATACAGTATGAAAAAAAATGTTACTAAATCATGTTTTTACAGCCTCAAAGGCAGGAAAACAGAATTATACTATCTTCTTTGAAAAACCACTGGCTCTAGATCTCCCCAAAGTTATCATTCTATCAGCTACTTTAATTGTTTTCATTCACCCTAGAAGTGCTTTTTGAAGAACTAATTCAAATTTGTAAGATGTAGAATAAAAAAGTATTGATAAAATAAATACACCTCTTAAGCAATTTAATTAGAAGCAGTAAGTCCTTTGGTACAGGGCACAATTCAATAATCAGTACATTGTTTACCTTAATGTGATGTTTGCCAAATAATTATTAAATCATTGACATGACCATTTTTGCAGTCCCTGGTATAAAAAAAGAGCTATGGCACTGGTTACCTGTTTTTTGTAGTTGTTTGGTTTTCCTCACAAATATTTTTTTTGCTTGTAACTCATTATCCAATTCTCCACAGTCTCGCTTCCTTCTTCTAGATGATTTTGACACTATTTCTGATTGATGTGGATTCAGATGCTCATCCTTTGACTGCTTCCTAGAACCCATTTTGTTCAACTGAAAAAAGCAATGTAATAGGAGTCAGAAAACTAAGCATTTGATCTTTTTGAAATCAAGTTTCTCTCCTACTACAAATTCTTATTTAAACTTTTCAAAATTACATTTATATTCAGTATTTATTCCATCCTGCTACTCAAGGCTGCTTATGTGGCCTTCCAACATACATCATATTCAGGCCATGGCCAACCCATGACAATTTACTTTC